TATTCATTAATATAAATATTATTTACTCGGTGAAGGTGGCGGGCAATGGATCCTACGCGCACGCCGTCCCTGATATTTAAACGTTGTGTCCACGCGCAGGCATTTACGGTGATGATTTACGTTAATCTGATTCCACGCATCTGCCTCTAACAACTCGCATGCGTTTGTTTGTTGTCTGTGTGTGTGTGTGTACAGTATACAGAGGCATACCCAACTATTTTTCTAGGTAGGATAGGCAAATTAGCCACGTCACGTGCAGTAACGTCATATATTATATGTCATATGTCAATGTCATGTGTGTGTCTGTATATATATTTATTCATTTATTATACACAGTGTATATATATATATTTATATTTGTATTAAACCGCTCAAAAATGCACATCTCAAGATTATGAGTGCTCTAATTACATTTTGTAGAATCGATAGCTTTGCGAGCGAGAACTTGTTGCGACAACCGTGCTTGTTTACCCAGTGGTAGTGCTAATGTGTGACGCGTATGTAGAGAATGATGAATTTAAGTTGATAATGACACATGTACATCATATTCAGAGAGTCGGACAAGTGTGATTTCAATACAACATGTAATCATTTATTGATTATACTCCATCATACCTAACAAACAACAAACATAATACGTCTGATGATGATCTTGTATGTAACATTGACTGTTTGTACTATCGATAAGCGATTAATGACGTCGTTGCATGCAGGTCCTCGCCTGGAGCCAACAACGAACCAAAGAGTTGAGTCGTCGACCACAAGTCGAACAAAGAGCTGCGCGGATACCTCACGAACATAGCCGAGCAGTGTGAGGGCGCCGCCGCTGCCGACCTACCGACGATGATCATTCTCGACAACCTGCTGGGAGAGGTAAGTCACTTTTGTATTCTCCTTGCCTTTCTCTCGTTCTCTCTCTACTCCTCTCTTCCCTCTCTCTCTGCCTCTCTCTCTGCCTCTCTACCCCTCTCTCGTCCCTCTCTCTCTCTGTCTCCACCCTCTCTCCTCTCATCTCTCTTCTTCGCCTCTTCTCTCTCTCCCCTCTCTCCTCTTCCTTCTTTCCTCTCTCTCATTGCTCTCTTTTCTCCCTTCTCCCTCTCTCTCTTCTCCCTCATCCCTCTCTCTCCTCTCTCTCATTGCTCTCTCGTCCCTCTCTGCCTCTCTCCCCCCCTCTCTCCTCTCATCTCTCTTCTTCACCTTCTCCCTCTCTCCCCTCTCATCTCTCTTCTTCGCCTTCTCCCTCTCTCCCCTCTCATCTCTCTTCTCCGTCTATCCTCTCTCTTCCCTCTCTCTGCCCCTCCCTCTCTCCTCCCTCTCCTCTCATCTCTCTTCTTCGCCTTTTCCCTCTCTCCCCCCTCGTCGCTCTTCTTCGCCGTCTCCGTCTGCCCCTATCTCTTCTCTCTCGTCCCTCTCTCTGCCTCTCTCTTCCCTCTCGTCCCCCCCCCTCTCTCTTCTCCCTCGTCCATCTCTCTCCTCTTTCTTCTTTCCTCTCTTTTCTCTCTCGTCCCTCTCTCTGCCTCTTTACACCCCTCTCTCGTTCTCTCTGCCGGGACGGAGAGGGAAGGAGAGAGAGAGAGGAGGAGGAGGAGGAGGAGGAGGAGGAGAGGGAGGAGGCG